GCAGATTCATATGTGCTACCTCTATCCGATTCCTCTTCGCTCTCATCCTAAACAAAACTATATTTTTCTCCTAACCCCATTACAAAAGATAGGGTCACCTCGCCACTTCCTTCTTCCGAGCTTCCATCTTCAGCTGTCTCTTCGTCTTCAGCCTCACCACTTCCTTCTTCCTCTTCGTCTTCCTCTTCCTCTCCTTCCTCATCCTCTTCTTCTTCATCCTCGTCGTACTCTTCATCCTCTTCTTCAACCTCCTCCTCATCATTATACTTGAACTCTTCTGGAGAATTTGCCTCTCGTCGCAAAGCGGGATCAGACGACACCTATATAGTAATTCAATAGTATCTCTTAAAATTGTGGGATTTACCTATTACCACTGAACTAGATATCGCTATTCTACAAACCTGAGGAAAAGTAGGCAAATCATAATAGCGTGCACAGCGCTGATTCAAAACGTGAGACAATGTTCCTAGCTGAAACTGCTCTCGTTCTGAAATATTCGATAGTGCAAGGTGAGCTGATGGCCTTGACTGACAGCAAACAAGATTTCGCACCTTTGAAACTGCTTTGAAGGGCAGGTGCTGGCTTTTTCGCCATGAATATCTGCTCCGCATGTTGAGATAGAACTGTGGTATTAAACAGCAGATTTCTCAAAAATCTGCATCTGGAACAAGCGTACTGATACCAACATCTCATCAGAGACTTCGTTTCCTTCTGCAGGGAAAAAAAAAACCGCACCTATCTCTGACGTCATAGCTCAAATCAAATCTTGCTAACTGAAAAACGTAATGAACAAGCTTCTCGCTTTCTTCGCGACGTACCATCCACAGTTTTACGGCTAACTTCAGTGTTTCCACCCAAAACAGGTTTATAAATACTTCGTTCAAAGGTGTGCTTAGAAATAAAAAGATACCTTTACAATTTCATCTTCATTTACGAAGTTCTTTGCAAGTATGCGTAAGAGATCAGGTGCGATGTTTGGCACCTATATGGGCAGTAAAAACAAATGCAAGAGAGGGAATAAAAATCTACCTTTTCTACGTGCGTAGCAATGAGCCATACAATGCAAGCTCTTGCAGGAGGTGCTTGGATTGAACGGATCAGACGAGCTAATCGTGAGAGTAACGGAGTAGGAGCTTCAGCATGAAGTAGTCTAAGAACGAAGGATATAGCTAGAAAGAATTGAGGCATCGATCAAATGAACCGACAAACTGGCCTTTTCAAAACCACTACTGCGGAACAAACTACGTTCTCGTTCGGTGAGGTTATGAGCTGAACAAGTCCAGCCAAGCACTGTTCACTCACAGCTTTAACCCGAACCGCACACCTTCCAATTGCCTCGATGGCAGCTCCAGCCAGATCACTCATGCCGACATAAGTCTTAATAACTTAATATAGGCGGTATGTATACGGCTTTTTGAATCGTCTTATAAATCAATCACTATTAGTGTAATCATATTTGAGTGATCTTTCTGTGAAATTTTGAATCAAAGATTTCAAGCACCTATAAAAAGACAAGGAATGTCATTTTCCTCAAATGTATACTTCCTGTCTATGTAATTTCAGTAAACTGCAAGTGAATTTCTAAAACTGAAGTGCGTGAAAGCATTTCAATTGGACGTACATTACAACAGCGCGACCTCCTTAACAAATTTCTCTTCCTAAGTTTGGCTTTTTGCAACCAAAAAATGCATGTATCCCCATGATTTGAAACTATGTACACAAAAAGCACACGTGCCTTACAACTGATGCATGACTTTTTAGTCCAAAATGTCCAAATTATATACCAGCGTATAAAAATATAAACGAAACATTGGTAAAAGCCGACAGGCAGATTTAATATGTAAGAAAATATGCGTAATGAAATGCAGGCCTAAGAAATAAGAACTCAAAAGAAATGTTTGCCAATCCAAATTTCAACACAAAATTAGCGTTCCTACAATAATGTTGTTGAATATGCTCAAACTCATCTCACCTGTAGCTCCCTGAGAATTATGTGCACATTTGCTTCAGATACTAGACTCGTGAGAATGTGTAATTTCAATTCTTTGACGAAGCAAGGATCAGAGGATCGCACGAAAAATGACTTCAAGAATGGATCGAACATGTTCTGAACAGCGAGATTTTAGAGCAAGTAAATCATTAGACTATTTTTGGTCATCACATTAAACATGACAAGGTAACAAGCACAAAACGTGCAGGTTCATGGCTTTGCAGTAGTTCAACCTTGAAAGCCGCCAGAAGCTTCAGTAGTTTTGCAGTTTATACTTACGGATCCAGCCGCAACACAATCACACTATCTGACAATGAGAAAAAAGTTGCTCGATCCGTTCAATGTCGAATCCGAGAGGTGTATTACGGTGCACAAGCCCACGACGTTAGCTCGGATTCTTGCCTACTTTTGATATTGCATATGTTCCAGGAAGTACCGGATTGCGTTCACAAATTGTTGCGATGTTCAGCAAAACTATGTATTGCACTTCACGTGGTCCTCGAAGGAGACGCACTAATGCACGAGCGACCTAAACGATGGTGATGACATACGTGGTGAAGCTCTAAGCAAAAGCAGGTTACCTGTGAAAGCTGTGCCTTTGGTGCTATGTAGTAGAATAGCTGTGTGACTGCCATAACAACACTGCAGTTACGAGACTGAAACGTAATACCGATTCACCTGCTTAAAGCTTGAAAGCAGCTCGCTTCATTTTCGAAGCATTCAGTGTCTTTTATTGATCCCCAGGATTTACAAAAAATTGGCATAAACATTTGCAGGGGGTATAGAAGAGAATTTGAGTGTAAAGATCGACGTGGAGAAAAAAATAACTAAAAACCTTTTTCTAGTTATCTTTCAACAAGAAGAAATGTTATCTTTTGACAAGATGGGGAATGGGGCAAGTCAACAAACCGCTTTGGTAGAAAATATCAGTTAAACAATTTTTTACAATAAGACACAAATTTCATAAGCTCTACAGTTAAAATCTGATTTGATGTTTTTATCACGGCTAACCGGAATTTTCGTATGTTCTACTTTTGGGATGTTGTACCACTGAAAGAAGGTAAGGGGTAAAAATGATTAACTTAGAGACAAGTGATCAGAAATTAGTCCAAAAAATGCAATGTTAAAGATATATCTGCCTTTAAATCGAGATGATGCTTTGTTGTAGAAGTTTTTAACAGGAAAAAGAGAAAATTAGGTTTTAGAAATAATTCCAGTATGATAAACTTGAGAAGCAGTGAACATATTCCAGCCAAAATTAGAAGCTAAATAACAGCTGACTCCTTTATGATTTTCGGAAGTGTGCTTTACTTTTGCAAGAAAAGAAAAGCACCATGCAAAAAGCTGCTTACTCAGGAAACACAAAGAATCTATCTAATACGACCTGAAGAAGAGGTCGCGCTGAGTTAAGCAGAAGAGTGAGATCCACATCGGGCTGGGGAAGAAGCTCGGGATCAGCGAGTTCCGAACGAGCATATCGCGTCAACAAATTAATCATCATTACCTAAAGCCTCTACATCACCTTCGCATCTCTAAGTTTCTCAGAAAAGTCATATTTACTTGGCCCCATTCATCAACATCAGCTAAAGCACGACATAGGGCTCGGAAATGCTTGTGAAGTAAATCGAGACGATTAGGACAAATCTGTAATGCAACTACAATTATCATAGAACAGAAAGAAAATACAACAAGAGTATAACCTCTTGAAAAGCATAAACAGCGCTGCCTAGAACTAGGCTACGTCGATCAGCAAGGAGAAAGTCTATACAATCTACCAATTCAGCTTCGAGATCTGGCTCAAGTGAATAAAGTTTAGGAATAGCATGGGCAGCGACCTGCAACTGATCATTTTCATGGGAAAGTAGTGCAAAAAGCCCAAACACACCTTTCTCACATACGGACTCATGTCTCTGACAGAATCCTTGATAGCAAGAAGCATTATAGGAGCAATCATACCAACTCGGATAGAAGACAGTACTCGAAGAGCACTGGCTCTTATCAGTTGATTAGGGTCCTAAAGAAAGTAAGTGCACTAAATTCCATCAAGAATAGTTATGCAAATCATCACCTTCAAGGCCCTTTGAAAGGTGCTTATTGACAACAATGCAAGGTCCTGTTGTTCCTCCGCGTAGCGCACCAAATAGACATATACTAGTTTTTTGAGCTGAAGATTGGCTGATTACAATAGTTATATTTTGATAGAAACAAGCACAAACACAAAGCAAACCTCTACGTTTTTTGCAGCAACATTTTTCACCACAGCGGGAAACAGCTCACTGACATCCTTCCCTTTTGCGATTAACTGAATTCTTTAACTCAGTAAAAATAAAGCACTCTTCATCTCTACTTACATTGATGATCCGCTTCATGGCATCAACCTTGAGGTTATCCTTGCTGCTGTCCAGCATAGTTTTTAGGTCAGCGAACCGCCTGTGAATATGAATTTGGGCCAACGCTTAATGAAGGTCACACAGATCATATGGACAGAAGCGTCACACATAAAAGATTTCATAAAAATTACAGCCTTACAACGACACTTCACTCATATGCGGCACTGAATAATATTACTATAAAAGGACAGAATATATCATAAAACCCACGTTCTGTTATCCAAAATGACTCCACCTTCAGCTATTTCCATTTCCGGACTAGTAAGCCCTTCAGGAAA